GAGAGAGGGGGGGGGGAGGGAGAGAGAGAGAGAGTCAGTTGCCCTGATTCTAAATGCAAATATAAGCTCTTAGCAAAGGCTTCTTGGCAGGGGTATTCATGGTGAGAACTCAGATATGGCTAGCTGTGTGACTTTAGGCAAGTCACTTCTTGTCTCCGGGCCTCAGTTTCCTTGTGGGTGCTCTCTAAGGTCTCAGGCCTGCCTACCATTCTAGTTGACCTCCATCCCCTCCATCCCTCCTTTGTTTCCTCTGTAGCTCAAGATGTTTGAAGATGACTTTAGGAAGGATCGCACTGACAAGCATATCTTCCAACGGCTCCTGAACAGATCTCGTGGCAAAAGCCCCATCACTGGGGCCTCTGAGTACAGTACCAAAGAGAAGTTTGCTGCCTCTTCCATAGTCACCTCCACCAGGCCTAAGGCAGGAGGCTGCAGCAAGCCATGTGAGCGCCATACACTGAAAAGCAACGAAGGCACAAAAAACTCTAAGAAGTGAGAGCGTGAGACCCAGGTGACCCCCTTATACTGAGACTTTTAGGAAGTCCGAGGGGCAAACCCTTCAGGGAGCTTAGCCGTCTTCCCCAATCATTTTTCTCAAAGCTAAGACAAACATCTATATACTGAGCACCTACTATGAGCAACATTTCCTTAACTGTGGGGCATTGTCTTTCAAGCTCCCACATTCCCTGTAGAAAGTGCTAACATTTCTAGAAGTCAACTCTGTCCTAGCTTGGACCATGCATGGTTAGATTGGGCCGAGGTCAGTATATGACTAGAGTGGGACGAGCTATACAAGCAAAGCCACTGACCACATTTGAGTCATTTTGTTCAAACCATGAGTTAGACTCGAACTCACCTTCTCCCCACCCAAAGGCTGAGAATGCTCCTTCTAGCTTAAGTCAACTAGCATTGTATTCTGTGACAGGAAAGCATGCTGTGGATAGCATTTGGCTTCCAGGTAGCACATGACTCCAACTGCAGAAGAGTCAGTAGGCAGAAAATAAACTCCAACTGAAAACTAAACCAGCAGAGAATAGAAGGCAGTATCCTTTGAATTTATAGTTTTAGGGAGAATTCATAACTAAGACAAGTATAGAGGAGATCACAATAGACAAAATAGATTTTTGGGGGGGGGATTATATGAAACTTAAGAGCTTTTGCACTAATAGAAATCAACATAATAACATTAAAAAGAGAAACTGATTGGGGAAAAAATCTTCATAGCGTATATCTCGAATAAGGGTCTGATAGCCTAGATTTATATAGAATTGATACAAATATTTAAGACCAAGAACCATTCCCCAATAGATAAGTGGTCAAAGAATATGAACAAAATTTTCAAAAGATGAAATGTAAATGATCAATGACTGTATGAAAAACTGCTCCATATCACTAATGATAAGAGTGATACAAATCAAAACAACTCTACCATTTTATATCATACCCAGAAGATTGTCAAAGATGATAAAAGATGGAAATAGTTAATGTTAGAGGGGCTGTTATGGCCAGAAAAGCCCCAAAATACATCATTAGTGGAGCTGGGAATTCGGCCAATCATTCAGGAAAACAACTTGGAACTCTGCTATAAAGATATCTAATTGTTTAGATCTTTTGACACTGTGATATCATTTTGCCGGGCATTTATCACAAGGTCAAAGACTGAGGGAAATGTCCTGAACACACCAAAATATTTAGAGCAACACCTTTTGTGATAGCAAGAAACTGGAAACAGGGTAGATGCCCATCACTTGGGGAATGGCCGGACTAGTTGTAGTGTGTGAATGCAACATAATATTATTTCTCTGTAAGAAAAACTAGCATGAGTTTTAATTGAATGAAATAGAATCACTAGGTATTTTTAATTGACCTTCTCTCTTAAGTTGTCTTTATTAGAGTCATGGTTACCAGGTATCTCATAGAAGTAGAGGTCCTCTTCCCATTTCTCTTTAGAAGCCCTGGTTTTCAGGAGAATTGATGTTCACTGCAGCCCTTCATCCACACAGTGAAGGGGGAAGCCATGTTCTTTTTTATTTTCATTTCTCCTGTCCACCCCTCCCCAAAACTTCCATCAATATTTTCAGCTAATGATAGCAAGAATGGCAAATAAATAAAAATCAATGTAGTGAAAAAGCTGGCTCCTTGTATGTTTTTCCTTTCAAAAACTAGCTGGGTCAGATGAAGAAAAGGTAGGATTGGCCAGAAATCAGACCTTTGGCTTCAGTTCATTCACTTAGCTCTTTGAACATGAAGACCTCATTGGGAAGATTGAAGCCATCAGTTGGGAGCAGCTTCAGGCCCCCCTCCTCCATTCCTCAATCCTTCTTAGCATTTTCAGGCCCTCTTTCCTCTTTCCCTCTTGTCACAGAACAGAGGATGATGCAACTCACCAATGGCAATGCCTCTACCTGCTCCCTTGCTCCTGTTCCTTCCCCCGTCCTCCCCTAGGATCCTGCTCCAGGAGCATCCTCCCTCTCACATGCATCTTCAATCTCTCCCTTGCCATGGGGTTCCTTTCTGTGGTGTGTTAGAGTGGATGAAGCATTGCACTTGCCAACCAGAGAGATGCAGGGTAAAATCCCCACTTTGACATTGACTGGCCATGTGACCATGGACAGTCAGGTCATGTAACTACTCTAAGTCTCAGTTTTCTTGTCTATAAAATGGTAATGCCTATCTCATAGAGTTATTGTGAAACTCAAATGAAATCAGGAATGTGATGCATTTTTCAAACCTTAAAGTGTTATATAGAAAGCAAACTTTTAATATTACATACGTGCTTAGGTGTCCCCAATCTTGAAAAAAAGGTTTCATTTGGTCCATCTAACCAGTGATATGCTAGAGCTAGCTCAAACCAGCTTAAGAGAGTCAACTGTAAAATGTTCAGTATGAGCATTTATATCTTGGATATCAGCAAAGGCTACAAACCAGGGCTTCATTGTTTTGTTGATTGTCACTCTAAACCTAAGAAAATGGTAAAGAAAATGTTAATAATGCAGATTAAACTGAAAAATATGTTGGCACATCTTTTTTTTGGAGAGCCAGTTGTTAAACATTTACCAGCACACCCCTGCTTCTAACCCATCCATCTTATTCCTTTCCTTCACTGCTAAACTTGAAAAAGTTACCTATGAATGACCATTCTTGGTCCCATAAAATAGATGGGCAGAGAATAGTTGGGTTGGGAAAGAAAATGTTCAAAAGAGGTAGAATAACAGCTAAAGAAAAAAGGAAAAAGAAAGCAAAGACATTTACAATTTAAGTCAAGTCAGAGAACTTGGGATGCAAATGGGAGTGAGAAGAGATCATGTGGGTACAGACAAGCTATAAATTGTATAAGCAAAATTAATCACAGGGACAAAGAATTGACTTAAAGAACAAAGGGGATAAAATCCAACACAAAATAAATAAATGGAAGAAAATACAAGTCTAATAATTGTAACCTTAATTGAGAATGGATTAAAGAATACAAAATCAAAAACAAGAGTGGCAAAATGTGTAACAAAGCCAAGTAATTTTTTGAATAGAAGAAATACATCTAAAAACCAGACAGATTTAGATTGAAAATGAGAAGTGAAAAGAACATTTGCTATGTGCAACAGCCCTCACCAAGACCCTGAGAGTTCTAGTTCTTATACCAGTTGATTTTCAAAGAGCAGGAGTTGTAATCACATTACTAAAAAAAAAAAAAAAAGCGAAAATGGAAATTTGCAGTGTCAAAAGAAATAGGGAAATGACATTATGCTTAAAGATATCATAGAGTCAGACAATAAAACAATATCAGTATTAAACATAGATGCACCAAATGGCAAAGCATCTAAATCAAGGGTGGGGGAATCTGTAGCCTGGAGGCCATATGTGGCCTTCTGGGTCCTTGGGTGCAGCCTTTTGATTGAGTCCAAATTTTACAGAACAAATCCTTTTATTAAAGGATTTCCCACCCCCGAAATAACTCCATAAAAGAAAAGTAAACTAAACTGCAAAGAGACGTAGATGGTAAAATGATAGTTGTGAGCAGATTTTAATACTCTTGTCTCAGAGCTGAATAAATATAACAGAAAGATAAACAAAAAGCAAACTACAGAAGTGAACAAGCCATTGGAGAAATAAGCTAAAAGACTTACGGTATCTTTTGAATTGAAATTGTGCCGGCCACGCCGTGCACTCTCCTCCTAACAGGAGCAGGCTGCCAGGGTCACACCTAACCAGTCTTCGGAGCCCACCCGGATAAACACGGAGACGAGCCGATCGGGAGGTGCAAGCACTCGAACTTTATTCAGAGACCATCACAGCAAGGCCAAGCAGGAAAGCAAGAGCAGGAGCAAGACAGAGAGAGCACGCTCCTATCCCTACCACCCCTTATATACCTTCCTAGCCCCTCCTCCTTGCCATCCCACCCCCACGTGGCACAGCCAACATCAGACAATCCCTCACAGAAATATTAAAGAACATAAAGATTTATCAGAATTACATAGTCCCTTTGCAAAAACAGACCATGTTCTAGCACACAGAAAAAAATAAAATTAAATTAAAAAATAAAAAATAAAAACAAATAAATATAAAAAGATCATAGTATCATAGATTTAGATCTGAAAGAATATTAGAGGATATTGAGTGAATTTTGTCCTCTTGTTTTACTGGAAACATGGAAACTAAGGCTCAGAAAGGTTAAGTTACTTGTTTAGGGTCACTCAGCTAATACGTGTCTGAGGCAGGATGTGAATTCAAGTCTTCCTGATTCCAAGGCCAGTAACTAATTCTGTCCCCCCCTTCTCCCAGAAGTCACTTGAGGCAGTGACCAAGGCTGGTAAACCATGAATTGCCCAGCTGGGAGGAAACTGAGATGGCTTTGAGGTTCAGTTCCCAAGGAAACCATGCTCAAAAGGGAAGAAGTCAGAAAGTGAGTGATAGGGACTATAAAACTATAAGAAACCAGAAGAGTCTATAAGGGAACTATAAGGGAAAAGAAAACTAAAGACTTTGAGCATAAGTAGATAAATCAACAGGAAATATGGCTTCCAGATTCGGGGGGGTGGGGATAAAACAAAACGAGTTCAGGCATCTGTGAATAAATACTGCATAAGAAAGGAAAATGATCCAATGCTTGATGAAACAGAGGACCCTGTGGATTTCAAGAGAGCACAGTATGACAGCATGCTATTCCTGAATAGTTTTCAAGAGAAATCAAAATTGTGAAAGCAGAACTTATAGGCAATCCCTGGTAGCAAGTCTCAACAAAGCAATCAATGGGGGAATAACTGATTGGGAATGCAACTACATGAAAGTGAAGGACAACCTAGAAGAAGAGATGCGAAAAGCAGTGATATTAAAGGAAGTCATGATCTCCATGCAAGCAAAGCATATTGATATAAAAGATAATTTAGGGAATCTAAGTCTCTCAGAAGAACACAATATGTCAAAATGCTCGAATACTACATTGCAAGAAATAATACCAGAAAACTGTCCAGAACTTCTGAACACAGACAACAATGTGCCAATAGGAAGAATCCATAGATTGCCTCCAGGAAAAAAGAAGACCTCAGCTACAAACAAAAGCCAAAACCTTGGTTACAAACTCTAAGATAGGTAGCGTCCAGTAAGAAACAATTAATCCCACAAGTGACCAGGAGAAAGACCTTCAAATATTAAGCAAAGAAACTTCAAATAACACAAGATTATTCTGTACCTACAAGAACCTACAAGAGGAAACTGAATAACATTCCAAAGAGCAATAGAGCTCAAGAGGCAGTTCAAAGAGACCTACCCTGCAAGTTTAGCCTATCCATTAGTGGAAATAAAGATGGGCATTCAATAAAAAAAAGAGGTGTTTAAATCATTCCTAAAAGAAATCATGTGCTTTCCAAACATTGCAGACAACAGAAATACAAGAAGGATAAACAAATACAGCCCCAACAACAACAAAATAACAACAGAAAGATGATTAAGAGACTTTCTCAATGTATGCAACAAGACAAAGATAAAAGCAGAAGTCAAATAGAAAAAATGATGGAGAAATAGGCCTGAAGCATTGTGGACTAAACCACGGGACACCTTCCCTACAGATGTTTACAAAAGAATAAGGGGGGAAATCTTAATTTGGGAAAAATATGTATTAGAGATAAACCTAACTCTCATAACTTTGTGAATGGATTAACAATACGAGAAAATGAAAAGAAAATTATAGATTGGATAAGAAAACAATACCCCACAAAATGTTGCTTACGGTACATATTTTTAAAAAACAAAGACACACAAATATAAAAACAGAGGGCTGGAAAAAAAATGACTGTGAATCTAAAAAACCTAGGCGTTGAGGGCAGCTAGGTGGCACAGTGGATAGAGCACCAGCCCTGAAGTCAGGAGGACCTGAGTTCAAATCCGGCCTCAGACCAAACACTTGACACTTACTAGCTGTGTGACCCTGGGCAAGTCACTTAACCCCAATTGCCTTTTAAAAAAATAATAATAAAAAACAAAAACCTAGGCGTTACAATCATGCTATCAGACAAAGCAAAAACAAATATTTACAACATAAAAAAGGATAAACAAAGAAACTACATTATGCAGAAAGGAACCATAGATAACAAATGAAAATCAATATTGAACTTCTATGCTCCAAATGACTTAGCACTGAAATTCATAAAGGAAACACTAACTGAACTACAAGAAGACATAGACAGTAACACAATAGTGACAAAGATTTCAATATCCCTTTCTCAGTTATGAATAAGTCTAACAGAAAGATAAACAACAAGAAAAACAAAGACCTGAACAAATTACTGGAGAAACTAGACCTAAAAGACTTACGACATCTTCCAAATAAGATCACTAAAGGATATGTATATTTCTCATTACCACATGGAATTTTTACAAAATTGATCATGTACTAGGGTACAGAAATATTGAAAGCAAATGTAGAAAGGCAGCAGTTGTAAATATATACCTTACAGACTATAACACAATAAAAATAGTCATTGTTTCAGGGACCATAAACAAAATACACAGACACAAATGGGAACTCAACAATGAAATCCTGTATAATGAGAGTCAAAGAACAAGCCATAAAAACAATTAATATAATTA